TTTTCCTGCCTTCAACAATCGTTGCTGCTTCACCAAATAAAACTTCGCATTCATCCGATGTACTCACAACACATCCCTGAGCATTTGATGTCTCGGGATTTTTGCCTTTGGCCCCATCCTTCTTGAGCTGCCAACACTCACTCTTGAAGTGTCCCTTTTTGCCACAGTGAAAACACTTGACATTCTTCTTACCCCTTGACTTTGATCTACCTCGGTTGTGACTCCCACTGGAGCCAGGCTCCATTGATCTTCCTCTTGTCACTGTCAACGCCTGAGACTGTTGTGAGGTTCCAACTTTATCTTCTTTGTTTTTGCGCCGACTTTCTTCTTGAAGAACCGCAGCTGCAATGTCATCGAAGACAAGTACCTCCTTGTTGTTGACTAGATTGATAATGAGTTGATCGTATGAATCCGGTAGACTTTGGAGTAAAATTTCAGCACGTTCATTCACATCTATTTTATAACTCAACGCCGAGAGTTGTGAAAATAGAGTGTTGATGTGCTCAGTTACTGAGGATGTCTCCATCATCTTGAGAGTGTATAGCTTCCTCTTCAAGAAGATCTTGTTGTGCAGTGATTTGGCCTCATACAAATTTACGAGAGTATCCCATATCTCTTTTGCCGTACCTTTTTCCGCCACACTTGACAAAACTTCATCAGCAAGTGCTAAGTGTAGATTGGCAATAGCGTTGCTATCCATTTCTGTCCACTTGGCATCGTCAGTGAAATCAGCTGGCCTTTCTTCAATTGCCGCAACGCAGTTATCTTTTCTGAGAACTGCTTTCATTCTCATTTTCCACAACGAGAAACTGTTCCCATTGAACTTTTCAATCTCGTACTTTGCCGTCATTGTAAGTGGTGTTCTTGATCCTGAACAATATATCTAAATAGTATCGTATAATAGAAAACTACCGGTCCTGTGAACAGTACACCAGGAAAATATTTCTGGAGAAGAGAGGTGAACCACAAATGGACTGCTTAAATACCAAGTCTTAACCAGATCTTTTCCTATACATGTACAATCACTTTACCAGTATGAGTTCTAACATAAACGATACAGTACAGATATACCGATGAACCAACCTGGGGCTCTGATACCACTTGTTAGGATCGATACGATTCACAACACCAAAATACAGCGGCAATTTGGATCGGAAATAATGAGAATATTTATAGTGTAAGATTTAAAATTAATCATACACAAAATAAAGGCAATTTGAAGAAGGATTTTCTGTATTGGCAAAAGGATATTACAATAGGAATTACAAATATAACTCTCTATTCTACTCTCTATATTTTGCTATGCTAATGGGAGAATTCCTGATGGAATGGGATGAGATTGGATGAAGAGGAGTTGCCTATTTATAGCAAACCCTCTCCTGCAACTCCATCTTGCTCTTTCTCCTGAAATGAGCATCTTGCTCTTTCTCCTGCTCTTCCGAAATGAGCATCTTGCTCTTTAGAGATGAGCATCGTGCTCTTCAGAGATGAGCATCATGCTCTTAAGAGATGAGCACCGTGCTCTTAAGAGATGAACACCTTGCTCTTCAGACCAAGTGTTTGCTCCTGCTCCTAACCTCATCAGACAAAAGGTTCTGCCCACTTCCACATTTGACTTTAGTATTTGTGGAACTGCAGAAGAGCTGTGCTCAGACTCAAACTCGCAACCTTCCAAATAGAAGTCCAACCCGGGTACCATTGGACCACTATTGGGGTGTGGTGAGTTATATGCTGTATTTTTTAGTGTTTTTTTTTTTTTTTTTTGCATTTCATTGTGGTGTGTTTCTCTTACACGGTTGGTGTACTCTGAAATTCCGCCACACCTAAGGATATCGCCGCATTTAAACTTTTTCATATATATATATATATATATATATATATATATATATATATATATATATATATATATATATATATATATATATATATAGACGAACTACTCAGTAAAATTCTGATTGATCCCATTATTGTTGCATTTTTTTTAATGCAAATTTGGTTGTAAATTATGAGCTGATTGATTATATATTTTTATGTTTTGTTATTAGTATTTGAAGTTAAATCCAGAGGATTTTGTGCTTATGGAGGAACTTAGTAGTGTGGCTCTAACACAAAAAATGCTTCGCACTTTGAAGTTTAGCCACTTTAATGGATCGAGGTTTAAAATGCAATCTATCAAGGTATTTCTTGCTTGTTTTCTAGGAATTCAGAAGGTTAATTAATTGTTTGCTCCCCTATAATATATTAAGTTACTGAACAACATTTGTTGGTAGAGAAAGACACCATTGGTCTATATCATGCTGCTAACCTGTTAATGTGCAAGAGAATACTCCGTAATATTTATTTTGTTCAAAGGTAGCTTTGTGGTTATCAGCTTTGCATATTTGGAAACATAGGAAGAAGTCCTAATTGAACACAGAGTTAATGAAAGATTTGGTCCCTCAATTATTAGCAAACTGTCCATGTAGTCCCTCAATCGCTTATTCATCGATTTGGTCATCGAAAACAATTACTTTTAGTCGATTTAGTCCTTCCGGCAGTCAATTTGGTCCCCCAAAATAATTATTTTTAGTCGATTTAGTCCCTCCGGGCATCGATGAATAAGCAATTGAGGAGCTACATTGACAGTTCGCTAATAATTGAGGGACCAAATTGTTCATTAGTAGCCAATGCTATAATTGAACATAGTGTATGATAATATTATTAAATATAATTAGGCCGGAGCATCGGTCGGGTTCTAACGGTTCAGGTGGATGGAAATTATAGACCGTTCGATCATATTTTGGTTTGTGTTTTGAACTCCCAATCTGTGAAATTATTTTTGTAAATTCGTCGGATATTTATATAAACAAACCCATCGGATATTCGAAAATAGATGGGATATCTCAAATTTAGGAAAAAAAAATTGAAATTACAAATTTTGAAATAAATTCCAAGCTACTGACTACCACAAGCATACTGCATACATAGCAACAATTTACTAATTTAGTTTTAACTTACAACTACAATTACAAACATAATAGTTTACCTCTTTCTTATCTTTTACATTCAATCATTTAATAGTTGATTGGCCAACCTCATCCAATGTTCTGCACATACAAGCCCCTCAACAACTTCTAAAAGCATCTAGCACTTGCCGGCTCCGACTAGTATTGAATGTTGATTCGGATGGTAACGGTCATGGTTGAAAAAATCGCTAGGCGGGGCACTCGAGGAGCACCTAGCGCCTAGGCGGGGATTAGTCGGCGCCTAAGCGCCTGTGTATTTTTTATTTTAAAAAAATTTGTTTAAATTTGTTTAATTTTGTAAGACTTGATAATTATAAACTATTTAATACTTCAATAGTTAATACTAAAATATTAAATATTAACCTAAAAAACATCTAGAGTTTGAACAATTTAGGGTTATTTCACTCAAAACGATGTCGTTTTGAGTGAAATAACTCATTTAAAAAAGAATGGAACAATAGTTAATTGGCCGACTAGGCAGCCTAATCGATGCCTAGGCGACCTAGGCGGTGCCTAGGAGGCCTAGTCAGCCACCTAGCCGGCCAGCCACTTAGACCACCAATTATGGTGATACGCTAGGCGGCCGTCCAGCACCTAGTGCCTAGGCACCGATTAATCGGTGCCTAGGCGAGATTTTTGCAACATTGGTAACGATAGAGATGAGAATAACAAGAATGTCTCTTGCCATTTTCCGGTATTATGATTGCACCATTTCAAAATGTCAAAATCATTTTCGTCCTCTACAATTGCCTCAAACAAATATATTTCAAGCTCAGTTATTTTCTTGCCCAATTCCCCACTCTACAATTTTTGCTTCTTTAACTGAGCTTTTAACAAAGATTGAGCTCTCTCAATTGAAAATTGAATCAAACATTGAAATAGATGAAACAAATTATCTAGACTATGCAATTGGATCAGACTGAACACCAAAACTAGCCACATAATCATCATATAACTTTTTAAAGATCAACAATAACCTTAGCTTCTAAAAAAATGATTTACCATTTACATCACCATACAATTGGGTAAAATAGTATAATATGTATTCTACTTTGTCCTTGGGTCTAAGATATTTGCATAAAAAAATAAAAAATTTCATTTTATCTAGATCACCTCAGTATTTATCAATCTTTGCCCTCATATTTCTTCCCATCATTTAAACACAACTCCTATCATTTCATTTAATATGCATGACAGATTAAAAATCTCATAGAAAAATGAATTAGAAATCACATACAAATAACCAAATATCCTAACTGTCATTTCATAGAAAGATTTTAGAATTTTAACCAAAGAACCAATAGAATCCCCATACATGAAATCATGCACATTTCCACCTAAGTTAACAACAAAAGATGTTTCATGATCTTCATACGCATCAAACACTTTTTGATAGAGCAATGCAATATGAAACATCATGTATGTGGAGTTCCACCTTGTAGAAACATCAAGGCTTAAAGAATTTTTAACTTCCACCCGTATTAAACTAGCAAGATCTCTAAACTTTAGTAGCAAGGGGAGTTCCTCATATACCTAAACTTTAGTAGCAAGGGGAGTTCCTCATATACCTAACACATTCTCGGACTTTTTTAACAGTGATGTCAGATTTCTTCAACCCATCTTGTACCACCAGGTTAAAAATGTGAGCAATGCATCTCATATGCAAATACTTACACCTAACAACAATACCACCCTAAGACAACATTTTATTCTTCAATAATCATATATCAATATCATTGCTTGAAATATTTTCTACTAAACAAAAAAAATACACACACACACACACAGACTTTAACCCCGTGAAGCAGACAATTTTCTAGTGCATTTGCAATGTATTAACCCTTATATGTGAAGACAAAGGGACAAAGCAAACTATATTAATGCAATAATAAATAAGAACGCACCTTATACATATCACACATTCACACAATCATCATCCGAGACAAAATCTAATACTTATATACATTCAAGGGAGACATTCTTCAGGTCTACTGCTTAGCAAAATAAGATGTCATCCTTGTCTTACAGATGTTTACAACAATTCAGGACAACCATTGATTACATTTCTACTTTAAACCATGCAATGGAGCTGCACAATACTCAATTCCTAAAGTCCTTATCTCATCAGATAAACACGTCTACAACTTAACAAGAAATGAAAATTAAGTACAACCATGAGGAAATTAAGGAAAAAGAAAATCATGATTGCCAAATATATACTCTATAGGATCGGTTTCTTACTCCACAGGGAGTGCAGAGAGTAAATTTCTTAACACGGCGGCCGACAGGCATGGCGCAAGAGATCGACTGTCATTTATCATGTTCACCAGAGCTACGCTTTTATCATCTTTACATCAAAGCCCCTATTGACCACAATTCGCCCATGGCCCAACCCAACATAGAGCGATCGTGTTCCATGCAAATAATTTGGGCTTTTGGAGATGCACGAGGAAAACGCAACAACTCCCTTTGGCTTCTGACAGCTACGGATCTGTCAATATAATGATATTCCATAATAACAACTTTCTCTAGTGCGGGGGAATTTGAGAGCAGCAATTTTACAAAAAGCATTTCATTTGTTGATCCATTAAATGATTCAATCTTGATTGTGTTAAGCATCTTTAGATCCTGAACAATAAAGCAACCATCTAGATCCTCCAAAAGACTTGAAGCAGCTTCTATATCACGTTTGCATACTGCCTATAACAAGAAGAAATGAAAGACATGCACAATTCTGAGGACATTTGAGAAAGAAAAAACAGAAGAATCATATATATACATGCATGATTGCCAAATTAAATGTATACTCAACCTGATCAGCCATAATTCCCAATTCACATAGGTTGGGGCACTTTTGAAGCAATTGCATAACAACGGCGAGCTGATTCTCACTACCAAAACTTAAGTCATCCAACCCCAGTACTTGGAGATTTATTGCAGTCGCAAACAAAGATGCGTCCATATACTTGAAAGATGGTAATAAAGAAAGAAAAAAATTAGGCAGACAATTAAGAACTTTAACAATTAAGCAAGAAGGAAACCATCCATTTGCATAAAGTAAAATGTGGAAGATTAGATTCTCACCGGCAAGGAAGAGTCACACAACCAAAGAGCCTTAATTGCTTTCAAATGTGGTGTCAACCATCTTGAATCAACCACATCATGCACAGAATTACGAACAGATAACATTTCAAGTTTTGAAGCGCTGATCTCAAATTTAGTAATCCCTACACAATCTAAGAAATTCAGCCTCTCAAGGTTAGGAATACTAATACTAGAGGCAGTTCCATTAACAGTGCGTCTAAATTCAACAGCCTGGAAAAATAATGAAGTCACATTGGAAAATATACCACCAACATTATTTACCGGCAAATCAATAGAGGTAACATCGACACTCAGTTGCTTAATTGTGGGGCACGAGAGTATACAAAATGGTAGCTTATAATCAGTATCTCTATTAAAAAATCCTATGTTAAGCTCCTCCACACCATTTCTTGATAGAAAAAGACACCACCTATTGAAATCAGACTGCCGCAGCTCAGGATAATAATTATTAATCCCTAGAGTAAATTTCTTAACCGGTCCAGCACGGGATAGGAGAATATCATTTATTATGTCAACTAGAGTTCTGCCTTCATCATCGTGGCCCTCATCGACACTATATGTGAAGTCACAATCGAATGCAAGCCTCCCATGCTGCAACCAAACATCATTCCAGTGGTTTGAGAGTAGAGCAGTTCTGGCAGCGTCTTGGGTGGGCAAACACTCCAAAATTCTGTGCTTTATCTCTACCGGGAGAGGACTTATTAAATCCCTACTTGCATCCGCTACGGTGGTTTTGATTAGCCGACGTCGACCCATTAAATTGATGGGTCACCCGAAATCAAAAGCTAAAATCCTTCTATTCTTCAAATGTAAATTTAGTATTTCGTGAATAAACGAAATTAGGAAGCTAAGAGTTGGGGAGAAAACAGAGATTGGGGGAAAAGTGACAAATTAGAAACCCTCACCTCTGATGTTTGGGCCTTTGCGGGTTAGAAAAGCCGAAGGGAAATGCTGTTCCTCTAGAAGATTAGCCGTAGAGCAGAGTAGCAGACGCCAGACGGAAAAGACTAAGGCCGGCCGCCGGTGGAGACGGAGAGACGTCTCAGTCGCAGGACTTAAGGGCGAAGGCTGACTATTAAACTTGGGTGTAGGGTCATTTTATAATCGAAACCAAATAAACTGTTAACTGGAATTTTATAAAATCTTAGTTATTAATCGAATCAAGTATTTTGGTTACAAAATAATTAACCAAAATTCATCTATTTGATCAGAACTTTCATCAAATTTATACAGTGGACCATGGTCTACACAGCATTGTGGACCCGGAACCAAAACGATGTCGTTTAATGTGTAAGTTTTAACAGATTCTGTAACTTTCGGTTTCTTATATTTTAATACAAAATTTTAATTTATTCTATACACAAAATACTTATGCTTAATGTATAGAAATACATAACATGATACATAGAAACGTATAGCACGATATACATATACATGTTTCTATTTTATTTATTCTCATATTTGATTTGTGTAAATAATTTATGTCATATAGACACATAATTACATAATATAAGACATAGAATGTGTTTTACACCTATTCAAAAGCATTCGGACAGAAGATTAATTTTAAAAAATTCGTGGTATGCTTTTCCAGCAATGTTAAACCTGCCCACCGGAGTATGGTTACTCAATGTTGGGGGTAATCGAAGGGGATACAACGGGGAAATATCTAGGGCTGCCGTCAATAGTGGGACGAAAGAAAAAACAGATATTGGGGTTTCTGAAGGACAGGATTCTGGCCAAGGTGAGAACATGGAATGCAAGGTTCTTGTCGAAGGCTGGGAGGGAGGTGCTGCTTAAGAATGTCATTCAGGCAGGCAATGCCTAGCTATGCGATGATGGTTTTCCTGCTACCAAGGGGAACCTGTAAGGACATTGAGACATTGATGAATGAGTACTGGTGGACGGGAACTGTGGGGAGTGGAAAAGGCATACGGTGGAGATCTTGGCAGGGTTTAACAGCCCCGAAAGCAGTTGGGGGAATGGGTTTTCGTTCTTTGCATGAGACAAATTTGGCACTACTGGGGAAATAGGCGTGGAGGTTGGTCACAAGACCAAACTCAATAGTGGTCCGAGTTTACAAAGCACGGTATTATCCGAATAACACCTACGAACAGGCGGTGGAAGGCAGCAACCCATCTTTCATTTGGAGGGGTTTGCTTGAGGTCCAGCGAGTGATTCGGGATGGGTGCAGGAGGAGTATTGGAGATGGCCACGATACGGTGATTGGTAAGCATGCATGGTTACCATGTGTGGATGAGCCTTTCATCACTACATCAGTAGATGAGGAGACCTTTAACTCACCAGTGTCTTCTTTGTTTGATGCTCAAAATACAGGTTGGGATGTGCAACGGGTGCGGAGTGTCTTTAACGCCCGGGATGCCAGCTTGATTCTGAACATACCAATATCTGTGCGAAGGCCAAGGGATTCATGGTACTGGTATTGGGAAGAGAGGGGTAAATATTCTGTAAAGTCGTGTTACAGACGGTTGAAGGGTGAGATGTTGGATGCCCGGCCGTGGTCTCGGATTTGGAGCTTACAAGTACCGCCAAAGGTCAAGCACTTTTGCTTGCAGTTGGCTTCTTCTTTTTTGCCTACTAATGATGCTCTACGGGCAAAGAATATTCACTGCGCTTTGATGTGTCATATGTGCAGGAGGGTCCCCGAGAGTGCTTATCATATGTTTGTGGAATGCAGCGCAATGGCACGTGTTTGGACTCTTGCGGGTGTGCTGACAGTGGGGGATGCTCATGGTAATGTAATTGATTGGTTTTTTGTTTTACTGTCTCGTTTGCATGGTGATCTAGTGGCAAAGTTTGCTATGATATGTTGGGGTGTGTGGCAGAGCCGTAATGAATGTGTCTGGAACAGTATTGCTTTTAATGTGGAATTGGTGGTTCACCGGGCACTCAGTTTCTGGTCTAGTTGGATGAGTGTGAATACCCACGGCCAGGCAGAACAAACAGCAGCAGGGGATGAAGGCTGGAAACGGCCTAAGGCGGGACGTATTAAACTTAACACGGATGCTTCTGTGTTACCGGACTCCAATTCTATGGGGTTGGGGTGGGTGCTGAGAGATCATTCAGGCTTATTTTTAGCTGCGAAGAATGTGTACTTGGAAGGGATATATACAGTAAATGAGGCAGAGACAATATGCTTGAGGGAGGCACTGAGCTGGTTGAAGAACACAAGTATGGGAAGTGTGGATGTGGAGATGGATTCACAGAATGTATTTTATTCTCTACAGGCAACTTCTTTTGATTCTACTTTCGGTTTTTTAGTAGATGATGTTAAAGAATTAGCATCTATGATAGATGATGTTAGATTCTGTTTTGTTAAACGATTTGCGAACTATGTCGCTCATACGATTGCTAGAGAGTCATGTTCTACTGCAGGTTGTGGAGAGTGGTTTGATGTCCCACCTCCTTTTCTTGTACCGCACCTATCACGTGATTTAATGCATTAATATTTTCTTCTCAAAAAAAAAATGTGTTTTGTGTTATACAACTACTCATCAATTTCATGTACATAATCTTTATGCTTAATGTACAGAATTTTGTAACATAATGCACAGAAACGCATAACACGAGATACATATACACGTTTTCTATTTTACTTCTTTTCAGATCCGATTTATGTAAATAATTAATGTCATATATGCACATAATTGCATAATATAAGACATAAATTCGTAAAATAAGACATACAATGTGTTTTGTGTTATACAACTACTAATTAATTTCATGTACAGAATCTTTATACTTAATGTACAGAATCTTTATGCTTAATGTAGAGAATTTCATAACATAATGCACAATGCACAGAAATATGCTTTACACAGTATAAAAAAAACTCTGTAATGCGAACGGAAAAACAAACGATCTCCGTTAAAAATAAAGTTCAAAGTGACATCATATAGGATCAGGGTCCACAGTGCATTGTGGGCCCTGGTCCACGGTATAACGATTGAGTTTATGCACTCCCACTTAAAATGTTTAAATTTAAGGAATATATTATTATTAGCTTTAAAAATATGATAATTGCTCATCAACTCTCATCTTGTTTTAAACCTGTAGGGGAATAGCAATCGTTATGTTGTGCAACCGTGTGTACCATACATGGTGCACACGGTTGTGAACGACGTTGTTTCACTATGGTGGAGTAACGGTACTGTTAGTGGCACCATTTAACTCTACCAATCAATTTTTTTTCTCACCATTGTCAACTGAAGTCTACTTCTTCTTCAAGTATTATGCATTTTATGGATATATAGTTCACTAATTCTGAATTTAGGGTGCGTTTGGAAACACGGAAAATGACTTCCGCAAAATATTTTCCGAGTTTTCAGTGTTTGGCAAGAGAGGGAGAAATGTGGTCAATAGAAAATGATGCATTAGTCAAAGGAAAATAGATATGTTTTGGGGCCTTTCTTTTGCGGGAAGTCATTTTCCAAGGGATGCACATGCACAATTTTTCGGACCTAATTTTTTGCGGGCTTTTGCGAGTTGTGCAACCAAAGTCCGCCACATGCGGGTTGGCGAGTCCCGCGGGCCGGTCCGCGGTTCTTTTTTTTTTTTTTTTTTTTTTTTAAGAGTAAAGTCTACAAATAATATTAATTTTTTCACATTTAAAAATTTTAAAAAAGTTACATTTTTTAAAATGTTAATATATATAATAGGATAAATATCCTATATAACTGCATGTAATATAGGATATATATATATATATATATATATATATATATATATATATATATAATACACACACACTACACAGTAATATATCCTATACTACACGGTATCTACACAGTAATATAGATACACACACACACTACACAGTAATATACAGATAAATTACTGTGTAGTGTGTGTATATATATATAGAATTAGGTTCTGGTGCGGTTGTGCGGTTTAATCTGGACCATTCATCTCGCTTAAATCAACGTCCAAGATTGTCAAAAAATTTTTAAAAAAAATGCGGTGGCAATTTTATAATTTTTGCATCTAGGTCAAAATTAAGGGGAGTGGATCTGTGATTACTGTGCGTGAGTTTTGTATATAAGATGCGTGAAGTTTGTGCGTAAGTTGCGTGAGTTTTGTGCTTAATGTGCGTGGGGTTGTGTTTAACATGAGTAGTTGTTAAAACTTAAAGTGCGGACTTTTGTGCTTAAGGTGCGTGAGATTTGTTCTTAATGTGGGTGGAGTTTGTGGTTAATGTGTGTAGGGTTTGTGCTTAATGTGTGTGAGGTTAGTAATTAATGTCAGTAGTTGTTGAAACTTAAGGTCTATGAGTTAATACTTAAAGTGCGTGGGATTTGTGCTTAATGTGCGTGAGTTTTGTACTTAATGTGCGTGAATTTGTGCTTAATGTCAGTAGTTGTTGAAACTTAAATTCTGTGAGTTAATATTTAAAGTGCGTGAGTTTTGTGCTTAATGTGCGTGAGGTTGTGCTTAATGTGTGTGGGTTTTGTACTTAATGTGAGTGAGTTTGTGCATAAGATTTAACACTTAAGGTGCGTGTTCTATCACTTAAGATGCGTCATTTTTAGCTTATGCTTCTTTCTTCCAGACACGCGCGTTTTTTTTTTTTTTTTTTTTTTTTTTTTTTTTTTAATTTTCATTGATTTGAGCTGTTGATCTAAATTTGATCAACGGCTCATATCTAACCGCACAACTGCACAGGAAGCTATACCGGCACTTGAACTCTTCCGTATATATATATATATATATATATATATATATATATATATATATATATATATATATATATATATATATAGAAAGAATGTTATTCACAAAAGAATTTTATCAAAAATATCAAACAATTAAAATTTTGACGTATTCAATTCTTTTAATTTTCATTCTTATTTTCTGGAAAATGAACCAAACATACAAAGACAGTTTTCCGTTGTGTAGCCAA